TTTAATTGTCTGGCAGAGTGCGGGGTGCGGGGTGCGGGGTGTCACCTACTTTTAGTGGGCCACCCACTGGCTGCTGAATCACTCTTGCCACTGGAGGCGGCGCTCTCATTATCACATCAAAATGTCTCAACACTAATTACGTTTTACCAGCCCTGGCCAAGGAGCCAGGCCCCCTCCCCACTCATGCGCTCGAAACTAAACCAATTTTCAAAGTCAATGTCGCGACATGCCACCCTCGGCCCCACCACCTTTGCTGGCACATTATCCCTATTTAGCCTTCCGCCCACCCACCGTAACCCTTTTTCCAACCTCAGCCAAGAATTTTCCCCTCCATCTGACTTGGGCTGGGGTGGAAACTTCCTGCCTCAATGTGTGGCTGCGTGAGAAGTTTTCATTATGTATTCATGGAAGGCAACACAAACATTCGCACACTCGGCACCCACATGGAAACACCAGCACTAACACACACACACATTCACACACAATTTGCTATTAGACGCTCGTTGAAAAGTTTTCGACTTTTTGGTTCGCACAATTCAATCAACAACAAGAAATGAATTTTAGCATTGCGGAGAGTCGAAGCTTTGGCTACCCTACAATATGTGCAGCTCGTGTTGCTGGCATGAGCAGTTTCCCAGAGCAATGCCTGTTCCTGTTCCAGCTGTATAAATTTCCCATAAGCAAAAGGCTGCGTCTCTATTCACAACGAAACTGCACTTAATTTGTGTAGGGTATGTTAACGACTTGCAATGGCAACAGAAAGAGGCACTTTCTGGCAATAAGTAGGGCCCCTCGACACACTGGTGCTGGAGTTGGAGGAGTAGCAGGCAGGATGGAGGTATTTATAGAAGCTCTATAACTATTCAGACTTGAATTTGTTCCCAATGAGAACCAGAGAGGAAAAGAGAGGGAGAGTAAGTGGATGGAATCGAGCTATGGCAAAAACGTGTTGATTTGCTGAAATGATTTTCATTTTGATTTTCATTGCTTGAACAAAAGTTTCTCCTCGACTGTGGCAAAGTCAATTGTTTTAGCTTCTTCTTGATTATGTTGTTTTTGGGCACAGATTTACCCCCGCCTGCCTCTCCCTCTCCCTCTCCCACTCCCTCTTCCCATCCATTCTTCGATTTGATGTTAACTTCCGTTTAACTGCATCCATGGGAATACCAGCCATACATTTCCACATATCCCCCATGCATTGCATTCCAATGGCAAGTTTTTCCTGTGCGAAGAATCTATTGGCATTCATATATGTATAATCAATGCAAAATATGAGACTTTTATTCAGTTTCCTTGATTGAAATTTGAGTTTTTTATTTTCTTATTGCCTGTAGCCGATGCATAATTGATTTTCGCACTAAAATCAATTAAAATCCGTTTAGGATGCAGATCGGATTCGTGCCGCATTCCTTTACTTTTTTCGACTCCCAAATCGAATATTTATATCGAATATCGAATAACTTGAAAGTCCCCCAAAAAGTGCCCCTTGTCTTGCCTGCTCTGCTCTGCTTCGTGCATCTATTGATGTGAGAGACGCAAATAAAAGTGAGAGAACAAAAATGGAAAATGGAACAATTTGTTTGTCCACATGTGGGGTGGAATATCCTGGGTGTCCCGCAGCCAGATACTGGGGCTATACGACTGCCGTTGCATCGTCGAACAAACATTTGGTAGGAAATAATTGGAGCTGCTGTTTCGGCAGTCGGACAATGATTAGCTTTTGTGAATGGTTCGCTTTCAGCCAGAGTTCTCGTTGCAAAATGTTCTATATGGCACAATGCCTGACCTGCCTGCCTGCCACTGCGTTCCCGTGTCCGTGTCCGTATCCGTGTCCGTGTTCGTGTCCGTAGCTACCTTCCTTTCGTATCGCATCTGCCTGTGGCACGGCATGCGGCATCTTTCTGTGAACTCTGTACCTACGGCTACTTTTCCATGGGGCTGCCCTAGCTGGCACTGGCTTGCCATTTGATTGATCAAAATATTTTGTGTGTCCTGCCATGGGCCAAGGCAGTGGAGGACTAACAATTTTTGGTCAAACGTTTGCGCATCCACAAAACGGCAGAAAATCAAAGGAAAATACGCTGAAAGTTTTTCTGTGGGATGTAACCAATTTATCTTGCAATTTTGTGGGAAGATTCCAACGAATTTTCATAATTTGCTTCTGGAATTTTCAGTGCCAGACTTTGTCTTTTGCTGGAATTCACTTCATCCACAAGCGGGCAATGCAATCTTTATCCCTGATCCGAAGTGGTAATATCTCTTCTAAGAGTCCTTTTCTGTTGCCATTTGATTTTCCTTTGACTAGTAATTAAGCTCTCGCCTGGCACTCGAATATTTTCATTAAAATGTTTCATCAGCAGAATGGCAAATCCTGTGCTGCAATGCTAGAGCGCTTTGATGGATGATTCAGTGAGTTGAATGAGTAACTAAATGAATGAACGAGCGGATGCCCGATAAGCGAATGAATAAGTTGTGCAGCTGGTGTGGTTCCCCCGCTCCTGATTGCACAACTGCATTTATTTTCCTATTTACTTGCCACATTTCCACATTTCTACATTTATTTTTACTACCTCCCCAGCCCGCAACACGACTGCGACTGTGATTGTGACTGTGACTGTGACTGTGATTGTGTGACTATGACTGTAATCATTTCACTTTCACCTGCTTTTGTGTGTGGTCCGAGAGTGGAGAGTGGCACTCTCGTTTATTCTTTATTTTTGCATCAGTTTTGCAAATGTTATTCATACTCTTGGCCTTTGCCATTAGTCGCAGCAGCAGCTGCAATGATAAGAAAACTTTTCAATTTCAAAAGGAAAACATTCCGGAATGTAGATTAAAAAACAAACCATACAAATATATTGCCATTTTGTTAGAAGCTTTAAATTGCCATTTCAATTTGCGTTTTTAGAGATTTTTGTTGTTGTATCAATTACAAGTTTTAGCTTTATAAATTTACAAACAATTTTAGGTGAATATATTTTTAAATGCTTTTAAATGCATTTTCATTCATTTCCAAAACTATTTTAGATGATTTTTTCCAACTAATTTTGTTGTAGCTTTAATTTAAACTATTTTTGTTTGCATTTCGCCTCAGTTTTCCTAGCCAAATATTCCTCCAAATATTTGTGGAGCATCAGACAAAAACCCCAACCCAGCAGAGAATATATAATTACATTTCTTGTGCATTTTTGTTCAACTTTAATTAATCTCTGCCGCCCTTTAACATGAATTTCTATGTACTTTGTACATATGTATAGCCCCCGTCTCCGAACTCGCTCCCTCTGTGATCCCTCCACACTCTGTTTTGAGGCCAGAGTCTGATGCATTTTGTGCGTTAATTAAAATTAAGAAAGTAATAATAATAAGACAGAAATGAGCTGGCATGATGCGAGTCGCTCCATGGCCTATCTCCGCATTGGGGGGCAGACATAGGGGCATCCCCCTTGAAGGGTGAGCGGGGCAGCGTGTTGGTGAGGGGCAAAGTGGAAATAAAACTTTTGATTCTTGGCTGCTGTCTGGAGAGGCGATAACAACACAAGTTGACTGCACTTTTTATAGTTTTTTTCTCATTTTTCATTTTTTTGTTGGTGTGTTTCAAAGATTAAAGGAATGAAGACGTGATGGGGCGGTGTGGGGCGGGGCACACTTATTTGGGAATGATAAAACTTTGTCTCCATATGAAATGGGAAAGCTTCTTTTGATGCTGCTGTTCGTCCTCTTACATTTCCATTCCCATTTCCGTTTCTGGTCCTGCTCCTGCTCCTGGTCTTCGCATGTCCTGAAGTTGTCAACAAAGTTTTTTGAGAGGATACCCCCGTTGAACACACCTCTCCCCCTTCATCTTCATCTTCATCATCATCATCAACATCCTCATCATCAAGTAAATCCTTCCACACGAAGTCGCCAAAGATTTTAGCCCAATTTTCAGTTCCAGCTGCGGGCTTCCAACAAGAAATTCGACAACGCGGATGGGCCCTACCCGCTCTCCCTCCCATTAGCAGTAATTGTAGAGCGGGGCGAATCTTGCGACTGATTGAATGTACGGATAGCTCTGATTGCCGCCGTCGACAGACATCAATTCCTCAAACGTAGGGCGAGGCGGTGCGCGGGGGCATGCCACATGGACATGCACTAAGTGGATGAGCTGAAATGCATCCACTTCAGACAGCGAGAGAGAGAGAGAGAGAGAGAGAGGGGCAGGAAGGGAGCGAGCTGCATTGAATGAGAAACTCCAACAGTAATTGATGTATCGTCAAGGGTCATCATGCCGTGAGTCCATCTCTAGCTGCAGAAACTTCACCCTAAGCGAACGGCCCTAAAGCTTACATCTAAGACAACGAAAACATTACACAAAAAGACTTCTTGTTGCCCCACTTTACACGCAGTTTACTTTTGGGTTAGCTCTGTTATCTGCAGCGCGATAGCGATAAAAGTGGAACGCAAACAATTTCCCATTCCATGGGCAAAACCCCCCACCGCCAATCCACCCACTGCTACGATATGTAATGCACATGTGTGTGTGTGTGTGTGTGTGTGTGTGTGTGCGTGTTGGTGCTGTCTGCTGGTTGGCTTTGTTGGCATGACAGAGATTTCGGAAGATAACTGCCAAGAATGGATCGATTGTCGGACATTTCAATTTGAATTACTGTTCCAAATGATTTGTCAATGGGAGTCCAATTCGACATTGGCCAGGGGCTTGGAGTCATGTGCTATGGATGATTGGTTGATTACTTCTATGATAAGTCTTTTATTCTATGCTTAGTTGCCGCATTGAGCTCTGTTCTGTGATCAGATTGAAGGTTGAATTTTGATATTTTATCGATGGTTCATGTTCGATAAGTGAGTTTTATGGAAAATCGGTAGTCTGCTGGTAGCTGCCAATCGGGCTGCAACTGTGACTGGCACTCGGAACGGCACTCGGATCGGCACTCGGACCGGCACTAGGATCGGCACTCTGACTGCGAACGTGACTGGCTCCTGGCTGACCCTCTTCATTGACGTCTCGGTGAACTCGCTCTTCGCTGTCTCTTTCTGCCGCCTGCCTGCTGTGCATGTATAAAGTTCGCAGGTACTTCGCACCGGTAGTCCCACCAGAGCTACGAGTCGGAATGGGTGGATCGGGCATGCGATCAATGACAATCGGGTCGTCCCAGAATCCCCTACGCACCATCTGCCGATTCTCGACGGGTAGCGAGGGTTTCTGTAGGATCAATTAGCGTTAGCATTAAGACTATAATAGAATTTGCATCTACTTACCACCGGTAACTTGCATCTGTAGGTCACATATACAAGCAATAGGCCAAGGACAAAAGCAATCCCAAGCGCCAGGAAAATGCTGACGAAGTCGGGTTGGGGATCCTTCACCACGGGAATGACGTCCACCATGCCGAGGGCATAGGGTGGATACAGAAAGCGGATGACCTTAAAGCCGGCATTGGCCATCTTATCTTTTGGAAAGGGCTTGAGAATATCCCTAAACTCCACTGTCCAATGAGCGTCGGGAGGTGGCACGGTCACAACCATTTTGGCGAATACAAAACTAACAAGAGTGACTACAAATAAATACTAGAACAAATTTTAAAACGTGTTGAGACAGTCGGAGAAATGACTGAAAAGTCAGGGGCCACTCACACTTCAATTAAGAATCATTTTTTGGATGCCAGACAGCTACCCTGGTTCCAAATCGAAGTTATTTCGGCGCCCCTTACTTTGATTAACGATTCTTATGCGATAAACCGAATAATTGTAATCGATTTTGTATCGAAATTTCATTTGTTTTCCCCCCTCGATAATTCTCAATGTTTTGGTTGCCATCTGTCGCTGAACTTTTTGCCCCGTTTAAGAGTTAAATATTTGTTGGTGTTGTTCCAACCGCCCCTCGGGCGTCGTTCGAGTGGAACGAACCATCGGATCAACCCTCGTCTGGGTCGAATGAAGGCCTCACCTGGCCTGCTGCTGCTCCTGTTTTTGGGGGGTGGTGGAGGCGCCTCGCCCGCATCCTGAAGTATGAAAATTTAAATTAACAAATAAACGAAATTGGCCCGTGAATTGAGTTAACTTCCGTTGCAGTTGTTCGCTTTCTTTCGGGGTGTATTCCCCCAGGTTCCCGCTGCATGATGCATGTGGCTCGTTGCTGTTGCTGTTGCTGTTGGGGCAGCTCTTGAGTTGCCACAGCAATTTGGGTTAAAATGATGGCCGAGCAAATGAAAGAGCAACAAAGCGAGAGAGGCACAAGGCAGGCGGCACAAGAGTCAATATCGCGCAGCAACAAAAGAAGCGAATAAAAGAGCAAAACTAAAAGGCCAAATTCAACAAAATGCACTTCCCTGCACTCGCATCCCCCTCTCTTGGAGTGTGTGTGTGGGTGTGCGTGTGCGTGTGTGTGTGTGTGTGTTGCAGCAACATTTCATTTCATTTCATTTTTTTGTCGCTGTTTTGCTTTGTTTCTCATGCTATCGACACTTGGCGATTTGTTGCAGCGTCCACTCTTGGCTTTTGTCGATTGCGCTCGCCTCGCTCTTTGTGTGGTGTGTTCCACTTTTCGAGCACAGACGGTGCTACCCTGTACGCTGGCAGAGCGCACAGTGGGCGTGTTTCGGCAACACTCAAGCGAAGAGCTCTCGAACAGAGCAAGAAAGCGAGCGAGGGAGAGGGAATGGTGAAATACGCATCATGTACACGACATGTATAGTGGTTTACTTCTTAACTCAATTCTTGGGCATTCTCTTCGCAGCATTCGCTTGTGCGTATCGAGTCGCTGCTCATTTACAAGTCTCTTTCCTTCACTGAGATCAGAACGTTGGCTGTTAGGAGAGATGAGAACTTGCATGATTCATGGCTGGATTGATCGAATGATTGATTGATTTATTGGCCTGAGATTACAGGTCATCCACATGGCTGCACCTCTGTATCTCTGTGTCTCTCATGCAAAAGCGGTCTTTGCTCTTTTGCTTTTCTTGGCCGTTTCTGTTTCGATTTCTGTTGTTAACTGCTGCCACATGTGGGGAAACTGACCCCACCCAGAGGAGGTGCAGAGAGCGCGAGAAAGAGTGGTGGTGGGGGGGTTAAGATTGGGGCAGCCAAGAGCAGCATGCAAAGAGGCGGAAATAAGCCACTTGAAGTGACCTCAAAAGGAGGAGCAGCAGCAGCTAAGAGGGCTGCCAGGAGGAGGATGGTGCTGCAGGAGGGGGAGGTGCTCCAACATGTGAGTAATCGTGCGCGCCACTTGCCACTCACACACACACACACACACACACACACACACACACACACACACAAGTACTTGCACAGTGGCCACCGAAAGTCTCCAACCGATTGTGTTCTCTTTGCCGCTGCTGCTGCTGGAGTGGAGCCTCAGCTGAATGGAGCTGCCACAGCTTGAGTCGCCTTTTGGACTACATAGCGACCCCCCCACCACCCGCCTCACCCTCTTTGTTGCACACCTGAGCCGGCAGCTGCTCCCGCTGCCGCTTTTCCTCGCTCGCCTCTCTGCCCCATCAGCTCTGAATGAGTTTCCTTCGATTATTTTTCTTTTGTGGAATAAAATGCTTGAAATATTTCAGCAGCAGGCAGGCAGTCAGGCAGTCAGGCAGTCAGACTCCAAACCCAAAAGGTTAATACTTTGACGACCAAAAACCAGATTAACTTGTTCTCGCAGAGCGAGCCCCTTCCTCGTGCAGCCCCATGGCCCATGCCCCATGCCACAGCGTGACTCTGCCCTGACTTATTCCCACTGCCTTTTGTGTACCCTTTTGCAGAGCTTTTGACCAGTTAAATAGTTATGATTTTCCCTTGCCAATAAACGAATTGTATATAAATATTTGGTGTGTTCTTTTGGCTTTTCTTTTGCTGCCTGATTGGGTGCATTTTTCAAATCTTCTGAGCAAACTTATTCGCTCTTTTTGTACTCGCTTCGCTTTGCATTTTCTTTTATGGTGAGCATATGGCTTCCAACGTGAAGAATACTCCCTCCCGACTGCAGTTCCACAAGTAATTGTGGCTGTCTGTTTGTGTTCGTGTTCGTGTTCGTGGAGTCCATTGCTGCACTTTAGTCTCCCCCCTTGGCAGCCCCTTTACACTCCAACCATAACCATTCCGAACACCAAAAATAGAAAAGTAAACAAAACCATTTTTAGAGGATTTCATCATCATCAAACATCCAACATTCATCGGACGCAACAACTCCAATGCCCCCCCCCCCCCCCCAAAAAACACA